GGAACTGGTGACACGGTCATTGGCTCCGCTTTTGCAGAGCCATCTTCAATTCACCATACCTCCCCTGGAAGTCGAGCCATCCTCACTTCTCAGTTTGGATCCCCACATGGTTTTAGACAAGGTTCTTGCTGGCCAATCAATCAGCACCATCGGCTAAATTCCAGTATTTTGTACATTTTAGAAATGCACCATCTCCCAGCCCCCCAATGCTTGCTAGCTAGCTATTTATTTATTTATTTATTTATTTATTTATTTATTTATTTATTACAAAGATTGCCATGCTGCCTGACTCTAAGTGGATTCCCAAGATAAACAGAAACCACAGTAAACCTGTAATTTATGGAATGTCTTCCCCAGACAGGCTCAACGGGCGCCAATATTAGCATCATTTTGGCACCAAGTAAAGACCTTTTTTATTTTCCCAGGCTTTTTAATTGTATTTAATTGTATTCTAATCAGATATTAATTCATATTGTCTTTAATTTTGATGACTACCTTGCTGCTGCCTAGTTTGTATGGCGTCTTCAGTTTATTTGATTTTATTGGATATCTTTTAACTTTCCTGGTTACACCCTTGGATTAAAATAAACTGCCCTATTAGCTCATTTGCTTGTGCTTGCTGGACTTTAAGGAGCTTTGGATTTGCGCTGGCAGCTTTTGCAGCTGGATGTGGTCCATAACGCAAACAGTGGGAACGGTTTGACTTTTTAATCATTTGGCTTATTTAAAATACATCTTCCTTGCACTGTATGCTTTCTCTCAAATCTGAGCACACAGCATGGTTTGTTTTAAAAGGCGGCAAAATGGCACTCTGATTAATTTTTAATTTTATTTAAAACATACGGTCATATACCAAACAATAAAAAAAAAAGACAAACCTTTGAGAAAGGAATACAGAATACTAATATGGGGTTGTGATTGCTCATTACCAAAGGCCTAAAACAGCCAACAACAGCCCACTGCCTCTTTTTTTTCCCCTATATCTCCACAATATTGTCTTCATCTTGTTCTCAACAAGCCTAAGACAGCTTAAAGCCAATCTTAGCTGTTCCAGGGTTAATTTAAATAGCTTTTAATTAATTTTAATTAATTTAAGTAGCTGTTCCAGGGTTAATTTAAGCAGCTTTTCCCCATAATCTGGCAACAAGCCATAGTAGTTCTAGCAGGGGTACAACCTGACATGCCTCATCAACCCTTGTGATGACCCCTGGGGTGGGATCAGCCTAGCAGCCATGCTGACATGAGGATGAGGGGATGACACTAAAAGCGGTGAGGAAGCATTCTAAGACCACGAGTCACTACTTCTTCCAGCACTCATGTAGTATGTACTACTAGTGGTAGTGGAATGTAGTAATAACAGTGGTAGATGCAAGGGAATGACCAGTCAGGCCTTGCATTGGCCACAGTCTTGGGGGAGCAACCACCCGGCCCCAGTGCCGAACCAATGGAATCCAGACCGGCGGGAGGAATTGCCGTAATTGAATTAATCAGTGATGTAATTGATGACAATGTCAGGGAAGGATCTGCTCAGCTCAGGTAGCTGTGGGCATGCAGCTTTCCCTCCAGGGCTGTTTTAACTTCTCTTCTTGCAGTAGCTTGTTCTGGGTTGAGATTTAGTGAAGTAAGTATGCTTCATCACTCTGATCCCTTGCCTTTCCCCACAGATGCTACCGGTTTGCAATTAACTCTTATTTCAAGAACATTTCACATGTATTTTGATAAAATACATTTGATAGAACGAGAGCTGTCTTATTGTAGGAGACTGAACAAATTGTTAAAAGTATATTTTCCTATGCAGTAGACCAGGGTTTCTCAACCTTGGCAGCTTTCAAATAGGTGAACTGCAACTCCCAGAATTCCCCAGCCGTCATGGCTGGCCAGGGAATTCTGGGAGTTGGAGTCCACCCATCTGAAAGCTGCCAAGGTTGAGAAACACTGTGGTAGACGCACTGCTTATATTTGTGATTCAAAGGCTACCTGTTGGGGTTTGTTCCTCTGTTAAATTATACTATATTTTACCCCAGTTACATATAACTCCTGGCCACTAAGCATCCATAAGAATAAGATAAGGTGAGATTTATTGATCAGATTTCTAAACCATGTTAAGCCATGATTTGTTTAACCATGGTATATCAAATCAACTACAACTGGTTAGTTTCACACTTGTTACATCATAAACCATGGTTTAGAAAGCACACATAGGTGAGCTTGTACAGCACATTGATCCCAAACGAATAAACTTCATTATCAATTAGCATCAAAATTATCAATTTTGAACTGTGCTACAAAGAAACATATTGCACAATTAGCTGTCTAGGACAATCAAGGCTGGTCATAACAATAACCTGTAGGACACTGCACTGAACATGTGACTGGAAAGGGACTGTGTAGCAACCAATCCTATTTCTTTTTCAAAAACTGTCTGAGTAATATTGGTGGGGCATATAACTTTTGTCATTCTGGAGAAGGCCTGTCTAGATGGTTGCTAAGAGTTGACATCAACCTGATGGCAGATAATCAGTCAATCAGCATAACATTTGACCACACCATTTATGTAAATAAAAACACTGGACCAGAGCCACTGTTGTGAGATGGGTGGCCATATACTGTAAATCATTTAAATAAATAAGTAAAATAAATTAATTCAAAGCATATAGGGGCTATTCTCCTGGTTGTGTGGGAGGGTAGTTTGGAATGTCCCAAAGTAATAGCAGAGTTCTTAGTTTTAATTTCTATTTTGCAGTGATAATAGGAGTTATCACATGTTACTGTATTGAGTTTCATGCAACAAATAGTTTTTATGGGAGAATTATTGCTTCTTAAGGGGCACAGTAACCAAATTATTGACAATGAAGATATCAAAGTGGTGGATAGCTTCCGCCTTTTAGGATCAATCATCAATAGCAAAGGAATAAGCTGTGAAGAAATACACTGCAGACTAGCAGTTGGTAGAACAGCCATGAAAGCCTTGGAAAATATATTGTCATGCCGCGATGTGTCTGTATCTTCAAAGATCAGAATCATGCAAGCCATGGTCTTCCCTGTGACACTCTATGGAAGCAAATGTTGGACTCAGAAGAAGCTGGATAGGAAGAGTATTGATGCTTTTGAACAATGGTGTGGGAGAAGACTCCTGAGAATATCATGGACAGCCAAGAAGACAAGGTGGATGACTCAGTTACAGCCACAATGAGGGCACCAGTGGAAGACCTGAAGGACCAGGTTGGGGACTGATCATAGTGGAGAAATCTATGTGGTCATTTGTTCTTGTTGTTCAGTCATTAAGTCGTGTCTGACTCTTTGTGACCCCATGAACCATATTGCGCCAGGCCTTCCTGTCCTTCACTGCCTCCCTGAGTTTGCTCAGATTCATGCTCATTGCTTCAGTGATGCTATCTAACCATCTCATCCTCTGCCGTCCTCTTCTCCTTTTGCCTTCAATCTTTCCCAGCATCAGGGTCTTCTCCAAAGAGATCTCTCTTCGCATTAGGTGACCAAAGTATCTGAGCTTGAGCTTCATTATCGATCCTTCCAATGAGCAATCTTAAGTCGTGTCTGACTCTTTGTGACCCCATGAACCATATTGCGCCAGGCCTTCCTGTCCTTCACTGCCTCCCTGAGTTTGCTCAGATTCATGCTCATTGCTTCAGTGATGCTATCTAACCATCTCATCCTCTGCCGTCCTCTTCTCCTTTTGCCTTCAATCTTTCCCAGCATCAGGGTCTTCTCCAAAGAGATCTCTCTTCGCATTAGGTGACCAAAGTATCTGAGCTTGAGCTTCATTATCGATCCTTCCAATGAGCAATCGAAAAACCATAGCTTTGACTATGCGGATCTTTGTCGGCAAGGTGACGTCTCTGCTTTTTAATATGGATTTTGGAGCCCAAATAAATGAAGTCTGTTACTGCTTCCATTTCTACCCCTTCTATTTGCCAGGAATTGATGGGTCCAGATGCCATGATGTGGCATGATGTGGTCACTAAGAGTCAACAATGACTTGTGACACCTAATCAATCTATTAGGGTAGTTTTAGGTGGAGAGTTATAAAAACTGGAGTCATATTCGGTTTTTTTTTTAATTGTGCCATATTTCGAACTTTGGAAGAAGCCAAGAACTGGCACCATCTAGTTGCCCATTTCAGCCTTGTAGAGGGTTCAGCTCAACCCCGTACGGAATTTCAAACGATTATTCTGAGCCGCTAGAGGGCACAAGAGACCCGCGGACCAGCCGAAAAGAGCGCAGAGGAGTTCCCAAAGAGGGCGTGGCTCGGGAAGACTGCCGGGCGAAGATTGGAGTGCTCAGAGCAGGGAGGCGTGGCTACGAACCTGACACTTAAGACTGCTTTTACGTCATTCATATAAATATTAGACGTAAGAAGAGAGGAGATGCATCGCTATTAGGAGGGGACGCTTTGTGACGCCTACGCTCTGGGAAGTGGGCGTGGCCTATTCATCGCCTCCTCAGAAACAGGGGAGGGGGAGAGGGCGTGGCTCCTGTGGAAGCCCCGCCTCTACGCGTACATTACGTTCGGGGGTGCGGTTTCAGCGCGAGCGGCGGAGGGCGGGGGGTGGGACGGCTGGTTGCCATGGGTTCGCTTCCGGCGCTGCCAGGCGGAAGTGGCTGGAATTCTGGTGCTAGTTGGTGTCTGGCGTCGTTGCCTTCGGTCAGTGTAAGCGAGGGGGGAGGACGGAGCAGGCGGGAGTCCCGTTTCTCCTGCCCGCTCGCAGGAGGGAGGGAGGGAGG